GGATGGGCTGGGATGGTAAAGGGAGGGGACGGTTTGGGATGGGTTGGCTGGGCTGGGAGGGGTTGGTTTTTGGGATGGGATGGGATGGGATGGGATGGCTGGATGGGTAGGGATGGGCTGGGATGGGATGGGTTAGGATGTGCTGGGATGGGCTGGGATGGGCTGGGATGGTATGGGAGGGGGCGGTTTGGGATGGGATGGGTTGGCTGGGCTGGGAGGGGTTGGGATGGGATGGGATGGGCTGGGATGGGTAGGGATGGGCTGGGATGGATGGGTTAGGATGTGCTGGGATGGTATGGGAGGGGACGGTTTGGGATGGGATGGGTTGGGTTGGGATTTGGGATGGGATGGCCCAAGCCTTAGTCTCTAGTCTCCATGCCAAGTCACCTTGCGGGAGACGTATCAGTAGAGCTACAAACAACTAAAACTGCTGCAGACTGCACAACCTCCTCATGCAGAACAAATGCAAGATTTTCCACTATTTTTCTCCCTCTACACTCCACAACAAGTGGAATTGATCCGGATGCCTTTCCTCCGAGTCCTAGTCTCTCTCTCTCTCTCTCTCTCTCTCTCTCTCTCTCTCTCTCTCTCTCTCTCTCTCTCTCTCTCTCTCTGTCTCTGTCTCTCTCTGTCCGAATGCTAGTTGAGAAAGATTTGGAATAAGGGATGGGTGGAGGTGAAACTAAAGAGAATGACATCAATAAATCTTTAGTGTTTATATGGGCTGCTGAGAACAATGTTTCATGCAGTACTGATCCGACTGAGGCTGCGTTGCAAATGGCACCCTATTCCCTGCATAGTGTGCCCTGGTCCAAAGTAGTGCACTATGTAGAGAACAGGGTGTCATTTGGGACGTAACCTGGCTCCTGGTCCACAATAGGAACCTGAGGTCCTCTGTGGCCCACCACCGTCTAATTGTTTACCCGGCTTTAAAGCTACGACGCCCAGGGGAAAAGCCAGAGGCTATTTAATTAGCTCTCCTAGCCTGAGTCCCAAATGACACCCTATTCTTTGACCAAGGCTCAGGGGCTTTGGACAAAAGTAGTGCACTATGTAGGGAATAGGATAGCCATTTGGGACTCATCCCTAGCCTGCTACGCTTTCATTTTCTTTCTTCCAGAGGCGAGAGAGTGAACGCATAAATCCCAAAGTCCTGATGTTTGTTTGTTACAGGGAGTTGGATGGGTGCGGCCTCATGCAGGCCAGAGACACATTAGACTGCATAGCATAAACGTTTCAAATATGTCACAGTCAGGACTCGGAGAAGGAGTGTATTTGGCTTTCGGCTTGAATCGCATTACGTATTGGGTGCTATGCTGTTGTGGTAATTAAGTCAGTTAGCTGAGAGAAAGCACACCCAACATGGCTGGGAGAGTGAGTTTACCCGTATCTTCTGCTGTTGCTGGTGGATGAATGTATGACACAACTCTATGCTTTCTACTCCAACACTATACTCCATGGTTCATAATCAGACTGTTGTGGCAGAGGTTGGGTTAGAACCAGACATGCCTGAGACCTGCAGTGTTGTGTTGTTGGCTCTGGAGCAAATGCTTTGGCTCCTCCTGACCTGATCCTCTTTTGACGTGTAGGAGACTCGTGTTTGAACCCAGTTGGTCACACTATGTTAAGGATCCACTTTTTTTTTTATCACACACATTAAATGTGTTTACATTTGGTGGCAGTGGTGGGATTTGACATTGATGACAATTTGCTTTCTATCTTACTTGATATCACTTATAATGTGTAATAGTAAGGAGTCAAATCAGTCATCACATAAGGTAGCTTTGGCAACCATAGAAATGGAATTACTCAATATGGCCGCCCATCTACCCATCACTGAACATTGACTTGAACAGGGGATTTTCCGTTCTAGTAATTATATTTCTATGTTGGCAACAAACCAAGGCCTAGTGGATGCCCCTGTGATAAACTAGCAGTGTTTCCCAGTCTGCAATCTCTCTCCGTCTCGAAGACTACTGAGGTAGATGATTGATAGACTTCATCCCAAATGGCACCCTCGTAGGGCCCTTGTCAAAAGTAGTGCACTAAATAGGGAATAGGGTATCATTTGGAACGCAGACATAAACTTGGTTGAATGGCTGCTGCATGTGTCTGTAGTTGCTCAACTCCCATGGTCTCTACACTCTGATTATTTTTCTATTTGGCTGTCCACATTGGAGAACTCTTTGAAGAACCCTTCTTGGTTCCAGGTAGAACTCTTTTGGTTCCAAGTAGAACCATTTTGGGTTACATGTAGAACCCTGTCCGCAGAGGGTTCTACCTGGAACCAAAACGGTTCTACCTGGAACCAAAAAGGGTTATTCTATGGGGACAGCTAAAGAACTCTTTTGGAACCCTTTTATTTCTTCTAAGAGTGTAGATGTATTAGTGATTCAGTCACTTCTCTCTGCTAGTGAAGAGCAGAATATGTGTTGTCATAATGTGTGAGATATTACCTAACTGCCCTGGGAGATAATCTTATGACAGCCTCGACCCTTATATTTTATCCTTTGTTGGGGGGGGGGGGGGGGGGGGGGGGGGGGGGGGGTCATATTCCACCTGTGTGTTTACAATCTAGATTGCTGCTATTTTAAATAATGAAAAGGTCTATGAAGACCTCATTCTGTAATCATAGTCAGACTAGACCTCATTCTGTAATCATAGTCAGACTAGACCTCATTCTGTAATCATAGTCAGACTAGACCTCATTCTGTAATCATAGTCAGACTAGACCTCATTCTGTAATCATAGTCAGACTAGACCTCATTCTGTAATCATAGTCAGACTAGACCTCATTCTGTAATCATAGTCAGACTAGACCTCATTCTGTAATCATAGTCAGACTAGACCTCATTCTGTAATCATAGTCAGACTAGACCTCATTCTGTAATCATAGTCAGACTAGACCTCATTCTGTAATCATAGTCAGACTAGACCTCATTCTGTAATCATAGTCAGACTAGACCTCATTCTGTAATCATAGTCAGACTAGACCTCATTCTGTAATCATAGTCAGACTAGACTCTACATTTTCTTTTTTTCTTTTTTTCCATGAAAACTCATTTTTATTTTCAAACAACATTCCCCTAATAACAAAGCAGGTATATCTGTGTGCCGTGAGATAATTGCTAGAAAACATCCTTCTAATGTTGTGGCTGATTGCCATTGGAAAGGTCACCTGCTGTCCCCATCAGTGGACTGATATGTCATGCCTCGCTACATTCCAGCCTAGACAGCTTAATGGTGGTTACAGGGTTGATATAGATGGACGCCCGTTCTTTAGAATAATTGACAATTATGGCTAAAGGCCACGGCTCTATTGAAGGGCTATATGTGTTTTCTAAAGGACACGACGAACCACCAGGACCATTATTCATCTCCTGCCTTAAGAATGCTGCTACTGTTCAGTCAGGCGTGATTTGCATAAACATTCTACACCTGGAAAGCCCAATAATGTCTAATATAGAATCTTTAGTTTAACAACAGTGCATTCGGAAAGTATTCAGACCACCTCCCTTTTCCCACATTTTGTTACGTTACAGCCTTATTCTAAAATTGATTAAATAAAAATAAATCCTCATCAATCTACACACAATACCCTATAATGACAAAGTGAAAACAGGTTTTTATATATTTTTGCACATTTATTAAATATTTAAAAAATGAAATAACTTATTTACATAAGTATTCAGACCCTTTGCTATGAGACTCAACATTGAGCTCAGGTGCATTCTGTTTCCATTGATCATCCTTGAGGTGTTTCTACAACTTGATTGGAGTCCACCTGTGGTAAATTCAATTGATTGGACATGATTTGGAAAGGCACACACCTGTCTATATAACGTCTCACAGTTGTCAGTGCATGTCAGAGCAAAAACCAAACCATGAGGTCGAAGGAATTGTCCGTAGAGCTCCGAGACAGGATTGTGTCGAGGCACAGATCTGGGAAGGGTACCAAAACATGTCTGCAGCATTGAAGGTCCCCAAGAACACAGTGGCCTCCATCATTCTTAAATGGAAGAAGTTTGGAACCACCAAGACTCATCCTAGAGCTGGCCGCCCGGCCAAACTGAGCAATCGGGGGAGAAGGGCCTTGGTCAGGGAGGTGACCAAGACCCAGATGGTCACTCTGACAGAGCTCCAGAGTTCCTCTGTGGAGATGGGAGAAACCTCCAGAAGGACAACTATCTCCGCAGGACTCCACCAATCAGGCCTTTATGGTAGAGTGGCCAGACGGAAGCCACTCCTCAGTAAAAGGCACATGATAGCCCACTTGAGTTTGCCAAAAGGTACCTAAAGGACTCTCAGACCATGAGAAACAAGATTCTCTGGTCTGATGAAACCAAGAATGAACTCTTTGGCCTGAATGCCAAGCGTCACGTCTGGAGGAAACCTGGCATCATCCCTACGGTGAAGCATGGGGGTGGCAGCATCATGCTGTGGGGATATTTTTCAGCGGCAGGGACTGAGAGACTAGTCAGGATCGAGGGAAAGATGAACGGAACAAAGTACAGAGAGATCCTTGATGAAAACCTGCTCCAGAGCGCTCAGGACCTCAGACTGGGGTGAAGGTTTACCTTCCAACAGACAACAACGCTAAGCACACAGCCAAGACAACACAGGAGTGGCTTCGGGACAAGTCTCTGAATGTCCTTGAGTGGCCCAGCCAGAGCCCGGACTTGAACCCGATTGAAGATCTCTGGAGAGACCTGAAAATAGCTGTGCAGCGACGCTCCCCATCCAACCTGACAGAGCTTGATAGGATCTGCAGAGAAGAATGGGAGAAACTCCCCGAAATACAGGTGTTCCAAGCTTGTAGCGTCATACCCAAGTAGACTCAAGTCTGTATCACTGCCAAAGGTGATTCAACAAAGTATTGAGTAAATGGTCTGAATACTTATGTAAATGTGATATTTCAGTTTTTTATGATTTGTTGACATAGCTTGGCCTTTCTCTGACAAACTGATGCATTGATTGACATTTAACTGTTCTCTCCCCAGGACTACAGAGTGAATATCTTCCTGAGGCAGCAGTGGAACGACCCCAGGCTGGCCTATAGCGAATACCCCGACGACTCTCTCGACCTGGACCCATCTATGTTGGACTCTATCTGGAAACCTGATTTGTTCTTCGCCAACGAAAAAGGCGCCAATTTCCATGAGGTTACGACTGACAACAAACTACTAAGGATTTCAAAAAATGGGAACGTATTGTATAGTATCCGGTATGCTATTCTTTTCTTGTTGTATCTTCCTCTTTCCTTCTTAGTTTCTCAGAATGTCTATCTGGTGCTAGGTCTATGGCTGACAGATGAATGTCTATCTGGTTCTAGGTCTATGGCTGACAGATTAATGTCTATCTGGTGCTAGGCCTATGGCTGACAGATTAATGTCTATCTGGTTCTAGGTCTATGGCTGACAGATGAATATCTATCTGGTTCTAGGTCTATGGCTGACAGATTAATGTCTATCTGGTGCTAGGCCTATGGCTGACAGATTAATGTCTATCTGGTTCTAGGTCTATGGCTGACAGATTAATGTCTATCTGGTGCTAAGCCTATGGCTGACAGATGAATGTCTATATGGTGCTAGGTCTATGGCTGACAGATGAATGTCTATCTGGTGCTAGGCCTATGGCTGACAGATTAATGTCTATCTGGTGCTAGGTCTATGGCTGACAGATTAATGTCTATCTGGTGCTAGGCCTATGGCTGACAGATGAATGTCTATCTGGTGCTAGGTCTATGGCTGACAGATGAATGTCTATCTGGTGCTAGGCCTATGGCTGACAGATTAATGTCTATCTGGTGCTAGGTCTATGGCTGACAGATTAATGTCTATCTGGTGCTAGGCCTATGGCTGACAGATGAATGTCTATCCGGTGCTAGGCCTATGGCTGACAGATTAATGTCTATCTGGTGCTAGGTCTATGGCTGACAGATTAATGTATATCTGGTGCTAAGCCTATGGCTGACAGATGAATGTCTATCCGGTGCTAGGCCTATGGCTGACAGATGAATGTCTATCTGGTGCTAGGTCTATGGCTGACAGATGAATGTCTATCTGGTGCTAGGCCTATGGCTGACAGATGAATGTCTATCTGGTGCTAGGTATATGGCTGACAGATGAATGTCTATCTGGTTCTAGGTCTATGGCTGACAGATGAATGTCTATCTGGTGCTAGGCCTATGGCTGACAGATGAATGTCTATCTGGTGCTAGGCCTATGGCTGACAGATGAATGTCTATCTGGTGCTAGGTCTATGGCTGACAGATTAATGTATATCTGGTGCTAAGCCTATGGCTGACAGATGAATGTCTATCTGGTGCTAGGCCTATGGCTGACAGATGAATGTCTATCTGGTGCTAGGCCTATGGCTGACAGATGAATGTCTATCTGGTGCTAGGTCTATGGCTGACAGATTAATGTATATCTGGTGCTAGGCCTATGGCTGACAGACGAATGTCTATCTGGTGCTAGGCCTATGGCTGACAGATTAATGTCTATCTGGTGCTAGGTCTATGGCTGACAGATTAATGTCTATCTGGTGCTAGGCCTATGGCTGACAGATGAAGTCTATCTGGTGCTAGGTATATGGCTGACAGATTAATGTCTATCTGGTGCTAAGCCTATGGCTGACAGATGAATGTCTATCTGGTGCTAGGCCTATGGCTGACAGATGAATGTATATCTGGTGCTAGGCCTATGGCTGACAGATTAATGTCTATCCGGTGCTAGGCCTATGGCTGACAGATTAATGTTATCCGGTGCTAGGCCTATGGCTGACAGATGAATGTCTATCTGGTGCTAGGCCTATGGCTGACAGATTAATGTCTATCTGGTGCTAGGCCTATGGCTGACAGATTAATGTGTATCTGGTGCTAGGCCTATGGCTGACAGATGAATGTTTATCTGGTGCTAGGCCTATGGCTGACAGATGATTTTCCTCCAAATTGCTTATGGTGGAAGCAAAGCAGATATTAACATCCACATAACAACAAAAGTTAAATGCAAGCATCTTTGCAGTGTATTTGATCTGTTATCAAGCCTAGTATTGAACCCTTGGACAGACGGAGGGGAATTGGATCCTTATAAACAGCTATGTGAAGGCAGTGAGAAGAGGCCTTCTCATTTCTTACATTGACACCATCAAATGAACCCTTTAGATGGCTTTGATCCCACCTGACCCCGCGCTAAAGAGAACCTGCTCAGTGTATTTTCTGATTGAAAAAATAAACCTTATAGATAACATTTGTCGTGCAACTGTGATGCTATCGCACTGCGGTATAAGTAAACTACGAATGCAAAGCAACCAATAGACCTGCTCCTATCTCAAGATAAAAGTACGACGTTTGCAACGTCTAGTTTGAAGCAAGATGTTTTTCTATACTCACATGGAGATACAGCCAGTCTGTTTAGGGATGAGGTTCACATGCATGGCTAGCAGGAAGGTGTTTGTCATAAAGGGGAATAATGCCTGAGGTGTGTAACATAACCTTTTATATTACAGGCCATCATGACAGGAAATATAGCAGCAGGTATAACAATATGTTACACTGCTACTCCTCCTCCTCCAATGCTGTGCTAGTGCTTTAGAGCAATAACATAAGTATACATAATATAAACCTTATTATAAGACATTATAAAGGCTTACACATGCTTATAACATGTTTTAAATCATTGTAGCTGCAGGTAAAGTGTTACCAACATTATTACCTAGTTTAATGACTGATACTATGTGACCAGAATAACACTGATCCTGGCCTGTCCCATGGACCTCATGTGTTCTAGAAAGTTCTAAGTTCCATTCTATTCTATTTCATTCCATTCTATTCCATTCCCTTCTATTCCATTCTATTCAATTCCATTAAATTCCATTCTATCCTATTCCATTCCATTCTATTTTATTCCATTAATTCCATTCTAGTCCATTCTATTCTATTCCATTCCATTCCATTCTTCTATTCAATTATATTCTGTTATATTCTACTTCATTCTATTCCATTCCATTCTATTCCATTCCATTCCATTCTATTCTATTCTATTCTATTCTATTCTATTCCATTCCGTTCCATTCTATTCTATTCTATTCCATTCCATTCCATTCTATTCAATTCAATTATATTCCATTATATTCTATTCTATTCCGTTATTTTCTATTTCATTGTATTCTATTCTATTTTATTATATTCCATTCTATTTATTCCATTCTATTTTATTATATTCTATTATACTCAATTCTATTCCATTCTATTATATTTCATTATATTCTATTCTATTCCATTCTATTATATTTCATTCTATTCTATTCCATTCCATTCTATTCCATTACTTTCTATTCTATTCTATTCTATTCTATTCTATTCTATGTAAACTTGTTAACAAAATAACGCTGAACCTGGCCTGTCTGTTCTGTTCTGCTCTTTCCTGTTTTTGCTGTTCTGTTCTGTTTTGTTCTGTTGTGTTCTATTCTATGTGACCAGAATAACGCTGGTCCTGGCCTGTCCAATGGACTTGAAGAACTTCCCTATGGACGTACAGACCTGTATCATGCAGCTGGAGAGTTGTGAGTATTCCATTAGGAACACAGTTATCACACACACACACACACACAGGTAGGGTAGGGGGGGAAGTATTTATTTTGTGTTGGTGAGATGGATGTGTCCCTGGTCTGGAGGACAGTATGATGAAAGGCCCAGTGATTTACGCTGCCCCTCCAGCAGCAGAGAGCAGATACAGGGAAGGGACAGGGAGGGAGTTAGGGGGGGGGGGACCAACCTGCTCCAACCTGCTCTAACCAGCCATCACTGGCTTCTCCCTCCCTCCCCACCTCCTCTCTTTGGAAATTATGGATTTGTATTTTTTTCTTGACTCATTGTTCTCAGGTGTGAAGAATGGAAACAACATGTATTGCTTCCGTATGAGCACTGTGGAGCTACGGTAGAGGTGGTTGATCAAGGCATTTAAACCTTCATCATACCACATTGTCAATAATATTTATTATCTCTTACAAACAGCTTGAATGTACTGTGATACTGTGGTAGTAAGACTGTAGTAATACTGTGGTAATAATTATCTTGTTTCAAACTGTTCCCATCCAGTCGGCTATACGATGAACGATCTCATATTTGAGTGGGACGAGAAGGGAGCCGTGCAGGTAGCAGATGGGCTGACATTACCTCAGTTTATACTGAAAGAGGAAAAAGACCTGCGGTACTGCACCAAGCACTACAACACAGGTCGGTCTGTCTCCACCTCTCTGGCTACCTCTACCTTGTTAGCTCTTTTTTTAAGGGGGTTTGTACGTTGAGCTAAACTCTCTTTCTCTACTCTGGGCTTTAGTTGACAGTCTGAGAACAGCGTAACAACAGACATTACAGGGTGCGTTGTTAGGACACAAAACGCTGGAACACTGAGAGAGAAGGGAGGAAGGACTGGAACCAACCAAAGTTTTGTCCCAAATGGCACCCTATTCACTGAGAACCATCTGGCCACTCAACCTCACCAGTCTCACATTGTTACACTCCAGATACAACAGAAAGAAACAGACTGAAGGCCAGTCTAGATGGACTCTAAACAGAGACTGAAGGCCAGTCTAGATGGAATCTAAACAGAGACTAAAGGCCAGTCTAGAATAATTTTAAATAGAATAGAGAGTGAGAGAAAAACAACAAAGGGTAAAAGAAAGAAAAAATAGGTGTATTGTTATTTTCTACTATGATATGATATGATTTGATTTAATTTGATATGAAATGATTTGATAGGATTTGATAGGATATGATTTGATATGAGTGATATGATATGATTTGATATGATATGATATGATTTGATATGATATGATATGATATGATTTGATATGATTTCATTTGATATTATTTTTTTAAGTTTTCTGAGGATTGTGTGTGTTGTGTTGTTGACATTGAATTAAATTGATATGTGGTGCCATAAAAATCTTGATTATTTTAAATATCATTCCATCGCTCAGGAGAGGGTGACATGTGGAAATGACAGGCCGGATGTTGTCTGTCTGCTAACTCTAGAATCCTGCTCTCTCAGACATCGACAGCCTTGACATGGCTGAGTACAGATGCTAGATGGCATGCCAAATCCCCTCCTCCCACACACACATGCACGGACACTCACATGCGCACACACAAACACACACACACACACACACTGAACACACACACACACTGAACACACACACAAGCACTGAACACAGTTGGCAGGCAGGTTAAAACCAGAGCCACATAATGAGCAGATTGGGACAAACCTGGACCTCATATGTCCAGGGAGAGGCAAGCAGGGAGCACCACTGAGTAGCACTGCAGTATGATCATTTCTTTATGCCTCTCTCTATCTCTACCCGTTATCATTTGTCTTATTTTTGTTTGTGGTGGTAAACACCAGTGACAACCCCTCGGGTCTTCCCTCGGTCTCCGTCCCCTCTCCCCTCCTTGACCTCTTGGGGATGGATTCCCCTCTTGCTATCATGCTATACCCTATCTACTAATTCTCTCTCGTGCTATATTGTGCTCCTCTAGGTCTAGTCATTCTCTCTGAATATCATATAGTATATATCTGCTCTCTCTCTCTATATCTTGATATATATCTATCTATCTCTCTCTCCTCTCTCTCTCGCTCTCTCTCGCTCTCTATCTCTATCTCTAGCTCTCTCTCTCTCCTTCTATACTATATCTCTTGCTCACTCTCTATATCAATCTCCTCTCCTCTATCCCTCTCTCTCTACCCCCCCTCTCTCTCCTCTTTTTTTTTCTTTCTCCTTCCCTCTCTGGTTCCTCTCTCTCTTTCTCATCCTCACTCTCTTGCCTCTCTACACCTCTGACCGCCTCCTATCCATATTCGTTCTTGTTCTCTTCGACATTCACCCAGTCAACCACTCCCCCCCCTAACCCATAACCCCTTCCCGTCCCTCCCGATTTACTTCTCCCACTCACCCCTCTCTATCCTGACTGTGCGCTATTAGCCTCTACCAGTCACATTGCTCACACGCCCTGGGACGCGCTCACTGCTCCTCACCACAACTGCGTATTTGGGTCATTTCTTCTACAATGGTGTTTAGGATGTCGTCGCCAGCTAATCTATTGGGCGTATACGCGGCGGAGCATTTTCCTCGGCCCTACATTGCGTTTCCATTTTTCTATTGTGATTATAAGGGGAGGTATATATTTTTCCCTTTTTTCCATTCTGGTCTTCATGATCATTCCGTGTACCTCTACTGTGAATCTAAAGCGTGCGTAGCGACCCTCCCGCCATCCGGCCACACAGTTCCTCTTTCTATTTTTTTTTTTTTTAATTGCCTCTCCTGTGTGCAAGGGGCACCGACACATTCAGTCCTCGGCCCCACACTCCGCGTCCTTACTATTGTCGATTCAAAGTCGGCGAGGTTTACATTCCTCGCCCATTTCGAGACTTTCACTCTATTATACCACATGTTGCACCTGTTAAAGGCTCCCCCTCGTTGCTAGTGTCCACCTCTGTTCACTCGGTTTACTATTACCACTGCGCGTCCTTACTCTATCCTTCGTATTAACCAGATCCCGTTGGACATTCGCTCGTGCCCCACAGGCGTCTCCTTTCACTCTTGTGACCTTAAAGGCGATGGATATTGTTCTCTCGTGCACCCAATTGCCGCTGTCACCTTTCCCTATTTTTTGACTTTACCAAGGATTCCCCCCGAGGCCCCCAACATTCTCTGGCCCCCCATCCTTTCCTGCCGTCCATCCCCTACCCTTTTACGCGGTGCTACTTACCTATATAGGATGAGGACAGTCTCGGCCCCACTACGTCCTCCTTATGGGGAGGAATAGGGGAGTGGAACTATGCTGCGGCATTCCACACCGGGTGCGTCCGGCCGAGGCGCCCGATTAAAGGGGAGGACATTCTTCTCGGCCCACGAGCCTTTCCCCCCTCTTGATTTTTTTTTTGCCGTGGCCTTCTTTCTCCTTCTTGCGTTACCCCCCCTCCCCTCCCCCCCTTTTCCCTTCTCTCTCTCCCTTTCTTATTTTATTTTCCCCTCCACGCTACTCTTCACTCTTGTCTGATTAAAGGAGAGGACTTCTCATTGTTCTCTGTTGCCCTCCCCACTTGTTATTGTTCTCTCTTCTCTTCAGCCTCTGGCATTTCCCCCCCTCACCCAACGTCTTCGGTGAGTCTGCAGTCGCATTTTCACTTTCTATAGGCCTCCATCAAGTTTACATATTGTTCCTATTGTGGTTAAAGGGGGCAGGACAATTCATCGGCCCATCCATACGTCCTCCTATGTGCTTAACAGGGGAGGACGTTTGTAAATTGAGAATATGTCTCTCAATTTCTGCGTGGACCTGGTTAAATCAAGGTGAATATATAAAATGATAAAAAAGTAAAACAGTATAAAGGGAGGAAGCATTCCTCGCCCCACTACGGCCTGCCTTGCATCTAGTGTTAATTTAGTCTAGTCCTGTTTTATCCCTTCGACCTTTTCCCTCACCGACGTCGAGACGACAGACCCGATCCATTGTAAGACTGGCCAGAGCACTAGCATGCAATGCCTAATCATGTCGCTGTGATTGCAGATTTCGCCTGCTACGCTAGCTAGAATAGTGTAGTCAGACAGCATTGTTGTTTCAATCTGTAAATATAATCGATCTGTGAGCTGAGAAGGACAAGTCATTCTCTATCTTCTCTCTCTCTCTCTCTCTCTCTCTATAGTCTCTCTCTTCTCTCTCTCTATCTCTCTCTCTTCTCTCTCTCTCATCTGACTCTCTAGTACTCTCTCTCCATTCTCTCTCTCTCTCGCTTGTATCCCTGTAGTGTCTCATTCTCGTCACAGAATACCCCCACTTAGATCGCCGAACCATGTATATCTTTATAAGACTTAAGATATGGAGTGCACTTAAAAGCCCTGAAGTGTATCACAGCTATAAATCAATTTAAATGGCGCTGTGGCCTCCCTCCATGTCTCCCTCTGTCCACGTCCAAAACAATACACTAGGGTTAAACTCTAATTGAATTGAAAGTCTTCAAGACAAAAGACAGCTGTCTTCAATGGATCTAAGCTGATTAAATGGCTTGTCAGCGATCTGGAGCATCTAGCCACTCTGACAGACAAGACACCCCTGGTGTTTACATCACACAGACAGCAAATAGAGAAAGAGGATACTTATCATGAGTTTATAATGGCCTCTTTTAGCTTCCGTTCTGGGCTATGTCTGAAATGGGACCCTGCTTTCCTATGAGCCCTATACTATTTACATTGTAGTCATTTAGCAGACGCTCTTATCCAGAGCCACTTACAGTTAGTGATTGCATACATTTTCATACGCCCCCCCCCCCCCCCCGTGGGAAACCAACCCACAACCAGGGCGCAAGCGCCATGCTCTACCAACTGAGCTACAGGGGACTATATAGGGAATAGGGTGCTGTTTGGGAGGAAACCTTACCGTCCGTTGTGGTGTTTGCTACACAGCTGTGGTCAGGGAAGTAGATGAGTTCAACCACAACATAACACGGTCAGCGTAGTGGGTTCAACCACAACATAACACCCTGTCTGCTGTAGTGGGTTCAACCACAAACATAACACCTGTCGGCTGTAGTGGGTTTAACACAACATAAACCAACTGTCAGCTGTAGTGGGTCAACCACAAACATAACCAACCTGTCAGATTGTAGTGGGTTCAACCACAAAAATAAACACCTGTTGCTGTAGTGGGTTCACCCACCACATAAAACACCTGTATGATGTAGTGGTTCAACCACAACATAAACACTGTATGCTTGTAGTGGGTTCAACCACACATAAAACTGTCTGATGTAGATGGGTTCAACACAAACATAACACCTGTCGCTGTAGTGGGTTCAACACAACAAAACACCTGTCAGCGGTAGGGTTCAACACAAATAACACCTGTCCAGCGTAGTGGGTTCAACCACAACATAACACCTGTCGGCTGTAGTGGGTTTCAAACCACAACATCACACCTGTCTGCGTAGTGGGTTCAACCAACAACATAACACCTGTCTGCTGTCGTGGGTTCAACCACAAACAAACAACTGTCAAGCGTGGAGTGGTTCAACACTAACAAAAACCTGTCAGGCTGGGGGGTTCAACCACAACATAAACACCTGTCAGCTGTAGTGGGTTCAACCCACCAACAAACACCTGTCAGCTGTAGTGGGTTCAACCACAACATAACACCTGTCAGCTGTAGTGGTGTGTTACATTTGGTATACTATAATATTGTTACTACAATACAGTATATAGACTGTATTTTAGTAATAATATTATAGTATATCATATTATATAATAGTATATAGACTGTATTGTAATAATATAATAATAATATATCATATTATATCATAATATTTAGACTGTATTGTAGTAATAATATTATGCTATATCATGTTATAGCATAGTATGTAGACTGTATTGTAATAATAATATTATACTATATCATGTTATATCATAGTATAGACTGTAGTGTAGTAATAATATTTAATATATCATAGTATAGACTGTAGTGTAGTAATAATATTATAATATTTCATAGTATATAGACTGTATTGTAGTAATAATATTATAATATTTCATAGTATATAGACTGTATTGTAGTAATAATATGATATTATATCATAGTGTAGACTGTATTGTAGTAATAATATTATAATATATCCTATTATATCATAGTATAGACTGTATTGTAGTAATAATATTATAATATATCATATTATATCATAGTATAGACTGTATTGTAGTAATAATATTATATTATAAACTGGGTGGTTCAAGCCCTGAATGCTGATTGGCTGAAAGCCATGGTATATCAGACCGTATACCATGGGTATGACAAAACATTTATTTTTACTGCTCTAACTTGAGCAAGGCACTTAACCCTAATTGCTCATGTAAGTCGCTCTGGATAAGAGCGTCTGCTAAATGACTAAAAATGTAAATGTAATTATGTTGGTAACCAGTTTATAATAGCAATAAGGCACCTCAGGGGTTTGCGATATATGGCCAATATACCACGGCTAAGGGCTGTGTCCAGGCACTCCGCGTTGTGTCGTGCATAAGAACAGCCCTTGCCGTGGTATATTGACCACATAACACACCCTCACGGGCCATATTCCTTAAATATATCATATTATTATTGAACCCCTGCTTTCTCCTCTGTCTATGTCATCTGTATTACAGGAAAGTTCACTTGTATCGAGGCTCGTTTTCATCTGGAGAGGCAGATGGGCTATTACCTGATTCAGATGTACATCCCCAGCCTTCTGATTGTCATTTTGTCCTGGGTGTCCTTCTGGATCAACATGGACGCTGCACCTGCCAGAGTGGGACTGGGCATTACCACCGTGCTCACTATGACCACCCAGAGCTCCGGCTCGCGAGCCTCCCTCCCCAAGGTGAGGAGTGGAAGAGGAACACAACACACACACACACACACACACACACACACACAGATACAGACATGAACACACACACGCACACATGCACAAAAACACACACACACACACACACACACACACACACACACACAGTCAGCCTGCTATATAATGGGCAAAGCAGAGAGGCACCCTGACTGACGACAGACTGACTTTAGTGTCTTTAAAGCCTGTATAGTGTTGATATGATTATTTCAGTGTGAAACTGATTTAATTGTTTAATTGTTGTTATGAATCAGTTGTGAATCAGTTGTTACATAACAGAAATCTTCTTCATCCGCCAGAATTTCGCAAACCACCTCTCTATGTCCTAGATAACTACAAACCACACTCTCTATTATCCTAGATGAACTACAAACCACACTCTCTATTGTCCTAGATGAACTACAAACCACACTCTCTATTGTCCTAGATGAACTACAAACCCCACTCTCTATTGTCCTAGATGAACTACAAACCACACTCTCTATTGTCCTAGATGAACTACAAACCACACCTCTATTGTCCTAGATGAAACTACAAACCACACCCTCTATTGTCCTAGATGAACTACAAACCACACTCTCTATTGTCCTAGATGGTCAAACTAACTCAACATGAGAAAAAAATGCATTTTTAAAGAAAACTATTTTTGCTGTAGGGATTTTCAGATTAAAAAGTGAAAAGGGACATTGCGTGAGTGACTAGGATTTTATAATTATGTCCTGGAAAAGTATCCTCCCATTTTGTTTGTTGACATTAGGTGATTCATGCTCTCTGGAAAATTGAACAAGTGAACCGTGATTTCTGTGCAGTTCAGCTGTCACAATAATGATCACACGGCACAGCTGAGCGTAGGTGCACACAGCACAGACTGCTCCCTCTCTTCCACGCATGGCTGACTTGGTGCATTTGGTGACAGGGAGGGAAGGAGAGGAGAGAGGACCATTTTGAAAGTCACCATTTACTGTGTCATTACTCAACAAATCTAGCCACCACAGAAACGTTACTTTTTGCTGTCGTTATTATGAAGATGTCCAGCATATAAATACATTTCACCACTTTACGTGGTCTAGTACTGTAAAACAAAACAAAAAACACATCAAAATATCTGATCTGGTGTGGAAAAATGGAAATCCAGGCAATCCAACGACACAGGAAACAGTAAAAGAGTAGTCTGCCCATGTCTGTCTCGGGCTGCTGACTTTTCATCATTTGAACAATGTCTTCTGAACCATGCATTCTGGAATGCCACCTAAACTGTGTTCCAGGGCCACTGACTTGTCAAATACAGTGAGCTTCAGCCGAACTGACAAGCCAGCCCAATCTAGCGTTAGCCCCATTTCCAGTCAAAGATGTGGTTTCCATACCTCTCTCTGTCTCACTGCCCGGGGCAGAGGTCAGAAGAAGTCCTGCTAGCCACTCACCGGGTTGCAGACTACTGTGTACTGAACAGTTCTCAGAGTTAGAAGATAAATGTTGTCTTTGTAGCAGACATCAAATTAATCAAGGATTATTAGATACAGATAACATATATGACTGGTACCAAGGTCAGTTTCATTTTAATAGTCTACAGAATCAGTTGACGAAATGTTACCGTCTGGGTTGGTGTGGTGTTGTTTATTGTTTCTATTCATGTTGTGTTGTGTTGTTGTGTTGTGTGTTGTTGTGGTTGTCCTCCTCATGTTACCACTGTGTCATCCTGCCCAATCACAGGGTAGTCGTATCATGTGAAAGCATTGACATCCTGGATGGCCGCTAGGAGGAAGATAGGGCGGGGCTTACCCAACCCATATGTCTTTAACTCTAGTTCTTTCCCCCTGCGCCCTCTCTTATCCTCCGAATTGCTCTCTTTAAGTCCATCCTTCCTGATTCTTCTCTGTGTGCCTCCCTGTGTTTGTCTTCTCGGCTCTGCTTGAGTACGCTGCTGTGAACTTCATCGCTCGCCAACACAAGGAAACTGCTACGCTTCCGGAGGAGGAGGCGGCACATGAAGGTCAATTAACTGATTTATTTATTTTATATTATTGGGATTCACTTTTTTATTATCTAATCATAGATTAGACTAACACTTTTCACAGGAACCCTTCCTGTCTCCTCCCCCCTCCTCTCCTCTCAGTCCCAGTTAAATATTTCGCTTTTTGGGGTTTCTCATATTCTCTACAAGTACACAACAGTTCATATGTAATGCTGAGGGAGTATTGAGTCATGTGGCCGCGTCCCAAATGGCACCCTAGTCCCTTTATAGTGCACTACTTTTGACCAGGGTTCATAGGACTCTGGTCAAAAGTGGTGCACTATAAAGGAAATAGCGTGCCATTTGCGACGTATCCATGGACACAGCCCAACAGAGGAATGAGCTGTGTATCAAATTCACAACAATGGAATTATTCCCACATGCCCTAACTTAGTCTGATATAATCCACCATTTAACAGGCCCAGTAGGACACCACGTTGTGATGGTAGGGCTTAAAGGGCCTGTTATCCTCCTATCAAAGTCAGTTAAACAAGTAGCCTGCTCCCAGATCTGTTTGTTCTGTGTAGCCAACTCCCATGGCCATTGTCACACCTAGTTTGTCATGCACATTGACCAAAGGAGTTGGCAAGACGGCACAAACAGATCTGGGATCAGGCTATAAAACAAGCAGATTGAAATTGAAAACCCCATCGCTACACCCTGGGCTTTTAATAAGATCTCAGATCCAAACAAAACTCCGTAGCTGTCGTATATCCGATGGTGTCTGTGATATTGATGTCTTGATGTATGAATATCAAAAAACAGCTATCAAAGTATGACTCATTTAGTAGCGTCTATCTACCACAGAGCGTGTTGCTCCGCCTCATCCTAAAACTCATCTAGCAGCGTCTATCTACCACAGAAACTCTTCAAGGAGTTAGACATAAACATTCCATAAACTCCTTGTCATTCCGTGCGCCTTGACCGGGAGGACAGGCAGGCAGGTGGCTACAGACACAGACTACTTCCAGGGAATGTGAATCCAGTCAGTCATTCAAAAGAGAGTAAAAAATCTCAAAATAAATCCTCAATACTATTGTTATAATCCATAATCCCTGAGGGGGGGGGGGTATGTACTAGGTGAGGGTAGATTAGGCGACTGTTTCCTGGAGCACTACTCTCTCCCACGGTAAATCGAGAAACTGTCCACGTCCCAAATGGCAACCATGCAGCGCTGGTCAAAAGTAGTGCACTATACAGGGAATAGGGGTGCCATTTGGGACTGAGTACCATACAGTGCTTTAGTAATCTAACCTCTACAACAGATGATAACTGGTAGTCTGTAAATCCCAATGTTTGGCGGGAATGACCCAGATCTTCATCCAGTCTTTTACATGGTATGAGTTCAGGAGATTCCGGTTGGGTGATGTCATCATGCAGTCTGGTATGTGAAATGCAAGTCAAGCGTTTTTCTGCTGCGTTTTTATAGAAAATGCGGTGTTTGGCCTACAGTGTTGTTAGGCCTACAGTGTTGTTAGGCCTACAGTATATATATTATCGTGAAATAGGACAAATATAAGCACCCACCAAATTATTATTTAGTATTATTAGATAGTATTGCAGTTTTTGTATTTGTATTTGTATTTATTATGGATCCCCATTAGCTACTGGCAAAGCAGCAGCTACTCTTCCTGGGGTCCAGCAACATTAAGGCAGTTTATACAACTTTAATAACATTACAATACATTCACAGATTTCACAACACACTGTGTGCCCTCAGGCTCCCTACTCCACTACCACATATCTACAGTACAATAACTTTACCCTCCTTCACTATAGAAAGACATGTTGTATAACTTTACCCTCCTTCACTACATAATTTAAAAGCAGAAAGACACATTTCCATCGACTGTAAGGAAAATGTACAATTAATTATTTTTATTCATCTAAAATGCAAAAACCATTCATAGTTTCAGCATACAAAAAAGATCCTCCCTACAAACTCTTATGTCCATTCTGAACTGACCAGGACATGGGGATAGAAATCTATTTGAGTGAATAGGCCTTTATATAGAGACTCAACAAGCATCACTGTATTTTGTATTAATTTTCACTGGCCACTCTTTCTAATGTGACTGTAATGTGATTCATTGAGGGCCGGGTCACAGCCCTCCATTATAGCCTTCTAAAGACTATCATTCAGCGAGTTCATCCTTCTAAAGGCTATCATTCAGCCGTCATTCATTCTAAAGGCTATAATTTCAGCGAGGTTCAGCCTTCTAAGACTATAATAGCGAGTTCATCCTTCTAAAGGCTATCATTCAGCCAGTCATCCCTTCTAAAGGCATCATTCAGAGAGATTTCATCTTCTAAAGGCTATCATTCAGCAAAGGTTCATCCTTCTAAGACTATCATTTAGCGAGTTCTTCTTCTAAAGGCTATTAATTAAGCCAGGTCAGCCTTCTAAAAGCTACACTCAGCCAATGTCATCTTCTCAGGCGAACATTCAGCCCAGTTTCATCCTGCTAAAGGCTATCATTCAGCCAGGTCAGCCTTTAAAGGCTATCATTAAGCCAGGAATCATCCTTCAAAAGGCTATCATCAGTTAGTTCACTTCTCCAAATCAAAAAAGGGCTATCATTCAGCCAGTTCTCCTTCAAAGGCTATCTTCAGCAGTTCACCTTCTCTAAAGGCTCTCATTCAGCCAGGTAGTTCATCCTTCTAAAGGCGTTATATCAGAGGAGTTATCTTCTAAGGCTATCATTCAGCAAGGTTCAGCCTTCTTAACAAGCTATCACCAGCCAATTCATCCGTCTTAAAGGCTTAACATTCCAGCCAGTTCATCCTGATAAAGGGCTATCATTCAGCCAGGTAAGCTTTCTAAAGGCTATCATTAGCAAGTCATCCTTCAAAAGGCTATCATTTCAGCCAATCATCCTTTCTAAAGGCTAACATTCAGCCAGGTCAGCCTTCTATCTAAAGGATATCATCAGCGACAGTTCATCCTTTAAGGCTTTCATTCCGCCAGCAGTTCATCCTTCTAAAGACTATCATTCAGCGATTCCTCCGTATAAAGGCTATCATTCAGCAGTTCATCCTTCTAAAGCCTATAATTCCCGCCAGTTCCTCCTTCTTAAAGACTATCATCAGCGAGTTCATCCTTAGAAAGGCTTTTATTCAGCCAGTTCATCCTTCTAAAGGCTATCATTCAGCCAGTTCATCCTTCAAAGGCTATCCTTCAGCCAGTTCATCCTTTTAAAGGCGATCATTCAGACAGTTCATTATTCTAAAGGCTATCATTCAGCAAGTTCATCCTTCTAAAGGACATTCATTCATGAAGTTCATTCCTTCTAAAATGCTATCATCAGCCAGGTCATCCTTCTAAAGACTATCATCAGCGAGTCATCTTCTAAGGCTATCATTCAGCCAGGTCAGCCTTCTAAAGGCTATCATTAAGCCAGTTCATCCTTCAAACGGCTATCGTTCAGCCAGTTGATCCTTCTCAAGGCTATCATCAGCCAGGTCAGCCTTCTAAAGGATATCATCAGCCAGTTCATCACTTCTAAAGACTATAATTCACCGAGTTCATCTTCTAACTAAAGGCTATCATTCAGCCAGTTCATCTCTAAAGGCTATCATTTCAGCAAGTTCATCCTTCTAAAGACTATCATTTAGCGAGTTCATTCTTCTAAAGGCTATAATTCAGCCAGGTCAGCCTTCTAAAAGCTATCAATCTTCAAACAAAAGCCAATTCATCCTTCTAAAGGCTAACATGCAGGCCAGTTCATCCTGCAAAGGCTATCATTCAGCCAGGGTCAGCCTTTAAAGGCTTCATTAAGACAGTCATCCTCAAAGGCTATCATTCAGCCAGTTAACCTTCAAAAGGCTATCAGTCAGCCAGGTCATCCTTCTAAAGAACATCATTCAGGCCCAGTTTGTTCATCCTTCCTAAAGGCTATCATCAGCCAGTTCGTTCATCCTGCTAAAGACTATCATTCAGCGAGTTCATCCTTCTAAAGGCTATCATTCAGCCAGGTCAGCCTTCTAAAGGCTATCATTAAGCCAGTGCATCCTTCAAAAGGCTATCATTCAGCCAGTTCATCCTTCTAAAGACTATCATTCAGCGAGTTCATCCTTCTAAGGGCTATAATTCAGCCAGCTCAGCCTTCTAAAGACTATCATTCAGCGAGTTAATCCATCTTAAGGCTATCATTCAGCCAGTTCATCCTTCTAAAGACAATCATTCAGCGAATTCATCCTTCTAAACTAACAATCAGCCAGTTTATCCTTTTAAAGACTATCATTCAGCCAATTAATCCTTCTAAAGGCTATCATTCAGCCAGTTCATCCTTCTAAAGACTATCATTCAGCGAGTTCATCCTTCTAAAGGCTATCATTCAGCCAGGTCTGCATTTTAAAGGCTATCATTCAGCCAGGTCTGCCTTCTAAAGTCTATCATTCAGCCAGTACATCATTCTAAAGGCTATCATTGAGCCAGTTCATCCTTTAAAGAGATAATTCAGCCAGTTAAGTTCATGCTTTAATGCTATCATTAGGCCAGTTTATTCATTCTAAAGGCTATCATTCAAACCCAGTTCATCCTCTAAAGGCTACATTCAGCCAGGTCAGCTTTCAAAGTATCAGTCAGCGGAGTGCATCCTTCTAAAGGGCTTCATTCGCCGAGTTCATCCTTATAAGGCCTATATTCAGGTCCAGCGTCAGCTTTCTACAGTATCATTCAGCGAGTCATCCTTCTAAAGGCTTCATTCAGCCATTTCATCTTTCTAAAGGCTATCATCGCCCTTCACTCCTTCTAAAGGCATCATTTCAGCCCTTCATCCTTTAAAGGACTATCATTCAGGACAGTTAATCCTGTTTAATTTAAAGTCCCATCATGCAGACAGTTATCCTGTCTAAAGCTATAATTCAGCGAGTTCCTCCTTATAAAGGCTATCATTAAGCCAGGTACATACATCTTAACTCTATCATCAGGCAAGTTATCCTTCTAAAGGCTATCATTCAGCCAGGTCAGCTTTTCTAAGTATCATTCGGCGAGTTCATCCTTCTAAAGGCTATATTCAGCCATTTCATCCTTCTCAAGGCGTATCATTATCCCTTTCACCTTCTAAAGGCTATCATTCAGCCCTTTCATCCTTCTAAAGGCTATCATTCAGACAGTTCATCCTTTTAAAGGCCATCATTCAGACAGTTCATCCTTCTAAAGGCTATCATTCAGCGAGTTCATCCTTCTAAAGGCATTCATCAGCCAGGGTATCCATCTTAAAAATCTATATTCAGCCCAGGCATCCTTCTAAAGGATATTCATTCAGCCAGGTCAGCCTTCTTTCTAAAGTCTATGATTCAGCCATTTCATCCTTCTAAAGGCTATCATTCAGCCAGTTCATCCTTCTAAAGGATATAATTCAGCCAGTTCATCCTTCTAAAGACTATCATTCAGCGAGTTCATCCTTCTAAAGGCTTTATGTCAGCCAGTTCTCCTTATAAAGAATATCATTAGCCAAGGTCAGCCTTCTTCTAAAAGGCTGATCCTTCAGCAGTTCATCCTTTTAAGGTGATCATTCAGAAACAGTTCATTATTCTAAAGGCTATCATTCAGCAAGTTAATCCTCTAAAGACTAATCATCGTGAGTTCATCCTTCGAAATGCCTATTCATTCAGCCAGTTCAATCCTCTTAAAGACACATTCAGCGAGGTCATCCTCTAAAGGCTATCATTCAGCCAGGTCAGCTTTAAAGGCATCATTAAGCCAGTCATCCTCAAAGGCTATTGTTTCAGGCACAGTTCATCCTTCTAAAGGCTTTCATTCAGCCAGGTCAGCCTTCTAAAGGCATCATTAAGCCTAGTTAATCCTTCTAAAGACTATAATTCACCGAGTTCATCCTTCTAAAGGCGTCATTCAGCCAGGAGTTCAGCCTTCTAAAGGCTATCATTCAGCAAGTTCATCCTTCTAAAGACTATCATTTAGCGAGTTCATTCTTCTAAAGGCTATAATTCAGCCAGGTCAGCCTTCTAAAAGCTATCACTCAGCCAATTCATCCTTCTAAAGGCTAACATTCAGCCAGTTCATCCTGCTAAAGGCTATCATTCAGCCAAGGTCAGCCCTTCTAAAGCTATCTGAAGCCAGGTCATACTTCAAAAGGCTCTCAGTCAGCCAGTTCATCCTTCTATAAGACTATCATTCAGCCAGTTATCATTCTAAAGACGATCAGTCAGCGAGTTCATCCTTCTAACTAAAGGGCTAGCAATCAGCCAGGTCAAGCCTTCTAAAGGCTATCATTAAGCCAGTGCATCCTTGCAAAAGGCTATCATTCAGCCAAGTTCTCCTTCTAAAAGGACTATCATTCAGAGAGTTCATCCTTCTAAGGCTATTTCAGCCAGGTCAAGCTTCTAAAAGACTACATCAGCGAGTAATCATCTTAAGGCTGATTCATCAGCCAGTTCATCCTTCTAAAGACCAATCATTCAGCGAATTCATCCTTCTAAACTAACAATCAGCCGTTGTTATCCTTTAAAGACTATTCATTCAGCCAATTATCTTCTAAAGGCTATCATTCAGCCAGTTCATCCTTCTAAGGACTTATCATCAGCGAGTCATCCTTCAAGCCTATCCATTCAGCCAGGCTGCATTTTAAGGCTATCATTCAGCAGAGGTCTGCCTCTAAAAGTTCTATCTTCAGCCCAGTTCAGCATTCTAAAGGCTATCATTGAGCCAGAGTTAATCCTTCTAAAGACTATAATTCAGACAGTTCATCCTTCTAACATGCTTATCATTTCAGCAGTTTATCCATCTACCCCCAAGGCTCTCATTCAACCAGTCATCCTCTAAAGCTATCATTCCAGCAGGTCAGCTTTCTAAAGTATCATTCAGCGAGGTAATCCTTCTAAAGGCTATATCATTCAGCCGTTCCTCTTTCTAAAGGATATCATTAGCAAGTCAGCTTTCAAAGTATCATTCAAGCCAGTTCATCTTTAAAGGTATCAGTCAGCCATTTCATCCTTCTAAAGGCTATCATTCAGCCTTATCCTGCTTAAAAGGCTATCATTCAGCCCCTTTCATCCTTTTCTAAAGGCTTCATTCAGGGGACACGTTTCATCCTTTTAAAGGCCCCATCATTCAGACAGTTCATTCTTTAAAGGCTATCATTCAGTGTGAGTTCATCTTCTTAAAGGCTACATTCAGCCAGGTTATCCATCTGAAGCTATCATTCAGCAAGGTCATCCTTCTAAAGGCTATCTTCAGCCAGTCATCCTTAAAAGGATATTCATCAGCCAGGTAAGCCTTCTAAAGCTATGATTCAGCCATTTCATCCTTCTAAAGGCTATATTCAGACCAGTTCACCTTTTTAAAGGCCATTTATTCAGACAGTTCATCCTTATAAAGGCTTATTCAGCCAGTGGTCAGCTTTCTAAAGGCTATCATCAGCGAGTTCATCCTTCTAAAGACTATTCTATTCAGGCGACCAGTCCATCCTTCTAATGGCTACATCATTCAGCCAAGTCAGCTTCTCAAGGCTATCATTCAGCCAGTTCATCCTTCTAAAGGCTATCATTAAGCCAGGTCATCTTTCTAAAGGCTATTAATGAGCTGGTTCATCCTTCTAAAGACTATCATTCAGCCAGGTCATCCTTCTAAGGCTTTCATCAGCCAGGTAAATTCTTCTAAAGGCTATCATTTAGCGAAGTTCATCCTT